TGTGTCTTTCTTTTTGTTCTTCTCCCAAGCTAAATAACTACCACAAGTTTATTCTCACACATACCACTCTACAATCAATTAATTACTCTAGTACATTTAGCTTTGCAAACACCCCAGAGCTTTGCAAAATTTATGATGCAGCATAGATCTATTATTTAAATTATCAGCACCTTGAAGTTCCACTTTTCCAAAAAATCTACATGTTAAAGACGTTGCAAATAAGAATACAAACATTAAAATAAAATAAAATAAGCGGCCAATAAACACAACTGTCTTCCCAGTTCAGAAAAAAGCATCCTACTTCTGTTAATTTATACTGCCAGACACCCACCTCCAAGTATGTATCTATGCAATAACATTGCATTTCAGTTTGCCCAGACTCCACCAGAAATGGCCGAAATGGAGCCAGGAAATTACCATTTTGTTGTCAGTAATTGAAGCTTAATTTACACCTAGAGTATGTTCCATTTGCTAGCTGTTATCTCTCACCTACCACACCTAATTTTTGTTGGTTATAGCACTAACTCACCTCCAACTTGTTATTTATTAATACTAGACCATACTGAAGCTTCTGAAACAAGTTGAACTTTGACCACTTCTTCAGAGTGGAACTGAATCACAAGCCCAGCAATTTCAAGGCCATGATTTCAAATGAAGGGGTACAGAAGATCTCATGCCAAAAATTCACTTTTAAAGTCTTTTAATTATAGTTAATGTAAAAATATAATGTATTATTGATTGATTGATTGTTACAAGATTGATTTATACAATTCCTATACAATCTATATATAGAAGAAAATGTGGTAGTAGGTGTAGTGGAGGTGATAGTGGGTTAGGTGAAGTGGAGTGTGTGGTGAAGTGGAGGTAGGTGGCTCATCACAGACTCCACCGGCAAACTCAGATCCGAGTAAGGCCCAAAGGAGCCGAACCCACACGGAAAGTCAAAGGGATAGCCTCCAGAATCAGCAACCTGATGTTTCAATGAATGAAAGGCCTTCTTTCTCAGCAAAACCTTAGGCATCCTCTGTAGCAACCGCTCTGAGATGCTTCAAATCAGTCTTGTTCCCGCTGAGCATGATGACGATGTTGGCATCTGCGTGGTCTCTCAGCTCCTTCAACCACCGGCTGACATTTTCAAAAGTGGTTGGCTTTGTCACATCGTAAACCCTGAATCGCCGATTAACACCACCTTGAACAAGACTTTATTGTTCACGCTTATGAGCTAGCATGTGCGAGACAAGACCTGAAAACGGCACTCAATTGTCAGAAAACTTCTGATTGTATTCAAGTTTTGACTGAAGAGCGCAATCGCCTTGAGCTTTTATGGTTGGAAGTGAAGAAAGGGTTAAAAGCCTTTGACGATAAAATTGAGCCATTCAGATCTCGGCTTCCAGTTCTGGAGGGGGAGAGGGAGTCCAAAGGTGCTTATTTTCGTAACATCAAGAGTAATTTGGAACAAACCTCGAAGAAGCTTTCAGCTGCCTCTAATCTCATGGATGGGCTCGAGTTGGCATCATTATTTAATTCTTTGGAGCAATCTGCACGACTTGCTGACTTAGAAGCAGCTTTGGGAGATGCCAGAGCCCTACTCCTTTCTTAGAGTCCTATCCTTTTCTCTCTCTCTCTCCTATCACCGGCAGATAGCACTATACCAATCCATTATAATATCTTTACCTCCACTATCCTAGTCCACCGAGCACAAACATCAACCCCATCACAATCATTTTTTTTTTTGTTTTATTCCTTTATCCTTATCATTAACAGCCCCCCTTGTTTAAAAAATGATGTAATATTATTTATTGATATTGATTAATTATTGTAGTGTTTACATTGATTCCTATATATAGGAGGTGTGAAGTGGAGATGGTGGTGGTAGGTGAGGAGTAGGTGAGTGTAGTAGGTGAGTGTGTGGTAGGTGATGGTAAATTATACAATGTACATTAACAATTAGGATGTTCTCTTCAAGCTTATTCTTGCAATCCTCCCTAGAAACGAAAGCATCCGTCACCTTTCATGGTAATTAGACCACAAATTTTGATATGTACACTCCACCTAATCACTAAGATAGAACATCTTGCACATCCCAATCCACCCTACTTTTGTTTTCTTTGTCGGTTTCGTCACTCACACCACGTGGTGCTTCCTCTATTTTGATTGACATGATATTAGAACTTTAAAATTATTAGAATTTGGAGTTAAAACACTTATAAATGCAAGGAAATGGATTGAGAAATTGGTATTTTTAAATCCTGCTGGTAAATTATCAACTTTTAACTTATAAAATGCTTTTCCAAACAGGTCCGTGATGCTTTTAGTTTAAGCCAAATCTATTATGAAATATAGAACTTCATCTAATCATTTGCATAACTAAGTTGACTCTTTACAAAACTTCATTTAATTAATTTGGCTTCTTCTAATTGAGGCTAGAATTAAGATAATTTCTTTTATTTATAGAAGTGTTATTGGAAAATCAATGTTGTTAGGAACCATATTTCTCACATCCTGGAGCTTTATTTTGCATTTGATGAATTGGGGTTGAGTCTAAAAATTGTGTATGAACTATGAAGGCAATGCAACGCGTGCCTTCATGACCGGCTTCCATTAAACTGGGTGACAAATCCCCCTTTGGCTCTATTAGATTTGCTTAGTTTCTCTGAGTAGGGGCTGGTTCTTTCCCTTGTTCTTCCAAATTTCTCTGATAAAAAAAAGAAAAAAGAAAAAAAAGAAAGCACTATGAAGGCAATGGATGGGAAATAATTAGTAGTAGTAGAATACATGATGATGTACTAGCCCATGATACATGTATGCACATTTATTTGGCTAAAGTTATAATAAGAGATGTGAAAAGTCGACACAAAAAGGCCTAGGGATAAGCATGGTTCGGATTGAACTGGATTGGGACAAAAGTAGGACCAATCCATTAGCTATGATTCCTAAAAAATTGAAACCAATTCAATCCGTTTAAATCGTGGAACCAATCCGAATTAATCCATTTAAACACTACCTCCACTATTTTTCTCCACACCTACCACCTCCACTATCACACACTCCACTACCATCTTCTCCTCTATATATAGGAATTGTAATATACAGAAATCAACATAATCTTGTAATACATCAATCAATAGTAATACATCAGTTATTTTACCTCCACTATTTTTCTCCACACCTACCACCTCCACTATCACACACTCCACTACCATCTTCTCCTCTATATATAGGAATTGTAATATACAGAAATCAACATAATCTTGTAATACATCAATCAATAGTAATACATCAGTTATTTTACCTCCACTATTTTTCTCCACACCTACCACCTCCACTATCACACACTCCACTACCATCTTCTCCTCTATATATAGGAATTGTAATATACAGAAATCAACATAATCTTGTAATACATCAATCAATAGTAATACATCAGTTATTTTACCTCCACTATTTTTCTCCACACCTACCACCTCCACTATCACACACTCCACTACCATCTTCTCCTCTATATATAGGAATTGTAATATACAGAAATCAACATAATCTTGTAATACATCAATCAATAGTAATACATCAGTTATTTTACCTCCACTATTTTTCTCCACACCTACCACCTCCACTATCACACACTCCACTACCATCTTCTCCTCTATATATAGGAATTGTAATATACAGAAATCAACATAATCTTGTAATACATCAATCAATAGTAATACATCAGTTATTTTACCTCCACTATTTTTCTCCACACCTACCACCTCCACTATCACACACTCCACTACCATCTTCTCCTCTATATATAGGAATTGTAATATACAGAAATCAACATAATCTTGTAATACATCAATCAATAGTAATACATCAGTTATTTTAACATAATTTATACTGCCAGACACCCACCTCCAAGTATGTATCTATGAAATAACATTGCATTTCAGTTTGCCCAGACTCCACCAGAAATGGCTGAAATGGAGCCAGGAAATTACCATTTTGTTGTCAGTAATTGAAGCTTAATTTACACCTAGAGTATGTTCCATTTGCTAGCTGTTATATCTCACCTACCACACCTAATTTTTGTTGGTTATAGTACTAACTCACCTCCAACTTGTTATTTATTAATACTAGACCATACTGAAGCTTCTGAAACAAGTTGAACTTTGACCACTTCTTCAGAGTGGAACTGAATCACAAGCCCAGCAATTTCAAGGCCATGATTTCAAATGAAGGGGTACAGAAGATCTCATGCCGAAAATTCACTTTTAACGTCTTAATTATAGTTAATTAAGATTGCTAGGATTTGTTTTCTTGTAGTATGTTTCTTAGTGATCAAGGATTTTTAATTAGGATTCTCAGGATTTGTTTCCTTTTAGTATGTTTCTTAGTCATCAAGAATTTTACTTTCCTTAAAATTATAAGGGTTTTTTTTAGCCTATAAATAAAGGTTTTGACATTGTAATTTGTTAGAGTTGATTAGTGAATTTGAGTTGAGAAAAGTTGTGACTTTTGTGTATAGGGCTGTGGCCCATGTTCTTCTCTTGGAAAATTCTTTTCTTCTTGAATCTTGGTTTTCTTTCTTCTTCTTCTTCTTCTTCTTTTTTTTTTTTTTTTTTTGTCAGAATCATTCTCCATATTTTCTGGTTTTGAATCAATTGAAGAACAGAACGGATTTCTTAATAGCCTTTCTAATAGCTCAAAAATAGGCAGAGTTCACCCTTTGAAACATTGTAAAGTTTGCAAAAAGGGTGTTGTTCAGTGAACTGGAGTATATATTAGGGTCACTCCTGAGAAAAGTTTGATAAGAAAAGATTACACAATATTGCACATGGCTAAGCACATAACAACACTACTACAACAACAGAGGAAACACCATAAAGCACCAATATTATATTCATTATTTGTCACATCTATTAAACAAACTGATGAGCATGGCAGTTTTTCTTTCTCTTCCATCAAAGCACCATTGATATTGTCAACAGCTTCATAAAACAACTTTATTTATCAATTACCTTGTTCAAATGTGCAACGGGATGGATCTTCACCAAAGTACAAAATCAAGGCATCAACATTTCTACCCTGCAATGAATCCAATATTAAAGAGATGTTAGGTAAGGACCAACACCATATGATATGGTGAATGTCATCGCATTTTTATAAGAAAAAGTGAGGCCGTACCACCCCAGAATAAAGTAAAGCCAAAGACCTCACTTCAGCTTCAGCAAAAGAAAGGAACACCTTCAAAATCTGAGTAACCGGAGAAAAAAAGAAAAGAAAAAGAGATCATGTGGATAGTGATATATTAAAGTAAATAATACAAATATAAGATCGGCTCTACGGGTAACATAAGCAGTTATTAGATTTCTATTAATGAGGTTCAGTATATTAATATGGGTTTTACTTATTTCTTTACAAACAGTAGTTGTAGGAACACTGCAAATTCATGGACGTTGCTTAAAACTCTGCACATGCACAATACTTCAAATTCAATGGACATTAGTCTTAGTGAACTTTCAAAAGCTTTGAAGCTGTCTTGGGATTGTATGATGCAATTCCAACCTCACGTATGAAGCCCAATGGATCCCTTTAATGGTTTACTAGTATTTTTTTCTTTTTTTTTGATAAATTTAATTTAATCAAATCCAACCCTCCAACCTAAAGTTTATTTTATCCTTCCCATACAACATAAACCTTTTTTTTCTTCCCCTAATACTCAAATCCAAAGTAGACATTGTCTAGAAATTCCAGCAGCACTCTCAAAATATCTCACCAACTAATTACTCCCAAAACAACACTACGTCATTCCTTCCTTCAACAACTCAATCATCAGGTAGTGGCCACAGCTCTAGAGCAGTGCCAAAATGGACCTAATAAAACCTCAAAATCAATGGAGGGGGGGTGGCCAGCAGGGGCCTGGTGACCCTAAATATTTTTTAAAGCCCTTGTCATATGAAAATATCTGTGAAATCCCCACTACTTTAGCACACCCAATTTAAAAATTCTAGTTCTGCCCCTGCTCAAAATTGGTTCCATTTTATTTTTTTGATAGTTCATTGCAGTGTTTTAAAAGGCTCTAGGTACACCAAGGCAATAAGGTCTCCTATAGCCTATGCGCTAGGTGCGAGGTGAGGTGCGTGCGTCACCAAAGCGAGGCACAAGTAGTAGAAGAAAAGCAAAATTATAAAATAGGCATATTTTTCAACATAACAAATATATATAAGATTCCAAAAATTATAAAGCAAGCTTCACAAGCATAACGGAGAAGAAAAAACAGAAAGATAACCCAATGAAGAAGCAGGAGAAGAAAAGAAGAAGAGGAAGAAGAGAAGAAAAATAAGGAAAGAAAAAACAGAGGCAAACCCATGAAGAGAATCCATCGAAGAAGAGGAGAAGAAAAGAAGAAAGGAAGAAGAGAAGAAAAATAAAGGAAGAAAAAAGAGGCAGAGAGATAACCCAACCAAGAAAACCCATCAAAGAAGAGAAGAAGAGAACTTGAAGAAGAAGTCGAGGTCGTGTCGTCTTCTTATTTTATGATCGCTTTTTTTAATTTTCCCCACCTAGAGTTTTTTTTAATTACTTTCTGTCTCTTTTGACCACATTTGGTCATTTATATTGAAGAGTTTTGATTCCCTATGAGTATACCCACAAAAAAAGCACTCAATCAACCGTTGGAGTAGAAAAATAGATAAAGTCCATGAAGCCCGCGCTTCACGCCTCGAAAAAAAGCCCTCGCCCCAATGCCTAAGTTGCACCTTGTTTATTGTGCCTCGCCTCGACCTGTTTGAATTGCAAGGTTGTGCCTCGTTGCGTCTCGCGCTTAAGCACGCGCTCCTTTTAAAACACTGGTTGATTGTGCCCAAGACATTAGTTCAATTGTTACCATTTTATGCATCCTTACGAATCCCGAGGCCCAACAATCTTACTTGCCTTTCAGCCATAAAAGCTAATTATTATTGACTACAATATTACATGAGAGTGTTCCATAGCCATCATCTTGGAGTAGAACCCTTTTCTACCATGTTAATCTTGTAATGGTCAGTCTGCTCTAAATCTGAACCAAATTACATTAACCCCTAATGGGTGAAATACATGTCAATTCAAATGTTCCTCTGTTGGGGGAACTTAAAATTGTTAGACCAACCACAAAAAAGCAGTTAACAGATATACAATACTAAATGGCAATCACCCCTAATGGGTGAAATCCACGTCAATTGAATTTAGCCACAAATCTTAACCAAATTACATTTAACCCTTAATGGGTGGAATCCATGTCAATTCAGCCATTTCCTTTGTCAAGGAAACTTAAAATTGATAGACAGACCACAAAAAGAAGTTAGCAGACATACAATAGTAAATAGTGATAAACCCCCCACAACGTGACCCAAAATCCTGCTTAGACCTAGCTATGAAGGGACCCAATGCAGTGGAAAGCCTTTATAGGAGCATTACTTTTTGATGTCTCTTTACTTTGCTCATATCTTCAAGCAGATCTCAACTTTTTCTACTTCTTAGTATTTCTAAAAGTTTTTTTCACCACCCAAGAACAATTATATAATGAAGACAAAAAGGGATGAAAAGATTGATTTGGCTTGCCCATGAATGAGGTAGAAACTATGTATATATAATAGATTCATGATACAATTTAGGAAACGATATAAATAAGGAAGTGATTGACAATCACAAATTATATACATAATATTCAAAATAAAAAGATTCTATATACTCTAATTTCTATATTCAACACTCCCCTCAAGCTGGTGTGAAAATATTCAACAATCGCAGCTTGCCAATGGATGACTGGAGTAATGTTGGTTCTACAGACTTTGTGAACATATCTGCTAATTGCTAAGAGGAAGAGACAAAGGATGGACTCACAATACCAATCCGAACATTTTCTCGAATGAAATGAATATCAACGTCTATATGCTTAGTACGCTCATGAAGGACAAAATCAGAGGACAGTATAATAGTAGACTTGTTGTCACAAAATAAGGACGCAGGACCAGTCTCTTCAAAACCCAACTCTGCTAGGATAGAACGAAGCCATAGAATCTCACATGTTCCTTGTGCCATAGCTCAATACTTAGCTTCTGTAGAAGATCTAGAAACAACTGTCTGCTTCTTACTCTTCCATGATATAAGATGATCACCATAGAAAGTACAGAAGCCAGAAGTAGAATGCCGATCAGTTCTAGATCCTGCATAGCCAGCATCAGTGAAACAAGAGAGCCCAGATTGAGGAGCGGCTGTAAAGAATAATTCTAAGGCAAGAGAGGTCTTCAAATATTTCAAAATGTGATAAACCGCATCAAGATATTCTGTACGAGATGCATGCATGAATTGACTAACAACACTAACTGCAAATGTCAAGTCAGGTCTAGTGTTGGTCAAATAAATTAGACGTCCAACAAGACGCTGATACATGTCTGGGTCCTCAACAACTCGCCAGACTCAGATGCGAGCTTGACATTGGGATCCGTGGGAGTAGAAGCAGGTTTACACCCTAACATACCAATATTCTGAAGTAAGTCAAGAGTGTACTTTCTCTAAGATAAGGAAATTCCCTACCGTGAGCGAGCTACCTCAATCCCAAGAAAATACTTGAGACTCCCCAAATCCTTAATATCAAAGGTGTGTCTCAAATCCTTTTTTACTTAATCAATGCCTACAAAATCATCACCTGTGAGAACAATATCATTCACATAAACCAACAAGACTATACATTGACCGGTTAAATTACAACGGATGAAGCAAGTATGGTCGGAGTGGCACTGAACAAACCCCATGAAGATGATGACAGAACTGAAACGACCAAACCAAGCTCGTGGAGACTGTTTCAAGCCATACAAAGACCTGCGCAATCGACACCCTTTTCCTGAATACTCTCCCTCAGCCCGAAAACTAAGAGGAGGTGCCATATAAATCGTCTCAAGAAGATCCCCATGAAGAAATGCATTCTTGACATCAAGTTGATGAAGAGGCCAAGAATGGGATGCTACAAGAGAGATGAGAAGACGAACCGAGGTAAGCTTGGCAATAGGTGCAAAAGTGGCTCCAAAATCCTTGCCAGGAACCTGGGTGAAGCCCTTGGCCACCAAGCGGGCTTTATAACGGTCAACGAAGCCATCAACTAGATACTTAATAGTGAATACCCATTTGCAACCCACAGTACTCTCTCCAGAAGGTAAAGGAACCAGATCCCAAGTACGATTCTATTCTAAAGCTATCATCTCAACTTGCATAGCCTCCACCCATTTTGGATTTTAAAGGGTCTTTGACATAGAATGAGGAATGGTCTCGGATTCAAACTTGTCAAGAAAAGAGCGATAGATAGGAGAGACCCTGTCATATGAAAGATATTGAGAAATGGGATGATTAGTACTACTCAAATAACCCCAACAATTTGAAGGATGTTGATCCCGAGGGGGATTACGACGAGGAGGAGGAGGAGGGGATGTATGTAAAGGAGAAGAAGTACCTAACCCAAAGACCGGAGAGGCGGCAGGGAGAGCTGAGAACGAGGGCAACTAGAGTATACCTGCAATTGGGGAGGGAGGGGGAGGGGTTGAAGGAGGCAAAGGTGGAGAATGAAGAGAGAGGACAACTTCATCTGTAACCTCGTCCAAAGTAGGAATAGGGCGAACACTAGAAGGAACGGGAGTGGAAGTCTGCAAAGGCAGGTTAGTACTAAAAAAGGGAGATCCTCATAAAAAGTAACATCCAAAGTGTGGTGAAAGTGACGAGACACAGGATCAAAACACCTATATCCTTTTGACATGGAAGAATACCCCAAAAAGACACAACAAATAGATGTGTCATCTAACTTGGTACGAGTGGGACTCCGATCCTGAACAAAAAGGTACACCTAAAGACACGGGGTAGGAGAGGAAATAGAGTAGTGTCGGGTATAAGAACATAAAACAGAGTAAGACCCTACAACACACGGCTAGGGGTCCTATTAATAAGATAGATAGCGGTGAGGACAGCCATATGCCAATAGGACTTGGGAACACTTATACCACAAAGGAGACACCGCACAACAGACATAATATGACGATTTTTACGTTCAACTACACCATTTTGCTTAGGAGTCCGTGGACAGGTAAGTTGTTGAAGAATACTAGTCTGATTAAGATGGGAGCAAAAAGCATTGGAAATATATTCCCCACCATTATCAAAACAGATATTCCTAACTGTATAAAACTGAGTCTTAACCATTTGCAAAAACTGAACAAAAATGGAAAACA